ATAAGTATGGCAGTTCCACCACCAGATCGATCTTCTCGATCGTTTCTTAAAATATTATACCCACAAACATTAAAATATTTATCAGATGTGAAACGAGTTTCAGATAAACAGGCAATATCTATCTGTTCATGATTTAACAAATATTGTAGGTTTTCTTTATTTGAGATTGCTGATTTACAATTCCACTGACATAATTTCATTTGTTCACACATTCACTTGTATTTAAATTAAGACTGCTTTTAATTAATGACATTATATCTGATGCTTGAATTTCAAAATGATTTTTTTCTTTATTTATAACTGATAAAACGATTTTTAAAATTATATTAAAAATACCTGAATGATCATTATTATTGAACAATAAATCCCCATAATACAAATTAATTTCTTTGCCTTTAAGTTATTAACTCACCATCGGACATCCAGACCGTTGGGTGTATATCGTCTGTTTCTATTTCTGACATTTTGATGTTATTGTTCGGTACGGGGATATTTAGCCGGAACGTAAGACCGTCAGGACGTATAAGCGTCGAATAGAGCGGCGCGACGTAGAGCGTCGTGACGTAAAACCCCGGAACGTAGAGCGTCGGATGGAATATTGGGCGTCGGGATGTAGAGCGTCGGATGGAAGAGACGACGTCGGGACGCAGAGAGTTAGGGAAGTAGGGCAGAGGTACGTTGAGCGTCGAGACGTGACAACATTCAGGAGATAGGTCGTCGGAATGTAGAACGTCGCGGCGTAGGAGTGTCGATAGGGTAGGAACTGCGTCGGTTTAGGAAAGGTACTGGATATTGAACTTAAATTATACTAGATTTGAAAGTAATGAATGGCTGGAGTTTGAAATCAACTGAGGTGTTTGATTTCTTTATACATCTCTAGTCCCTCGGTAAATACACCAATTGTCGACACTTTAAGGATCTTAAATGTCAAATTTTGGTTTGTTTCAGGACAGAACAAACAAATAATTGAATGGAATTAGCTTATTGTTTCGAAAATTTTAGTTTTTAGAAAAAAAAAAAAAAAACGTTATTCAGTTGTTTTTTAAAGTATGTTGTTACATCAAAAGTCGACAATCAAAGTACAAATTAAGCTAATAGTCGTCACCTAATTGTACTAATTGTTTACACTGTTAAAATATTTGTAAAATAAAAAAGCATTAAAGAAACTACAAACCAATCAGAAATAAGTTTGAATCCCAGGTAGATAAAATTTGCAAATATGCTTTTTTTGTGAACTTTCAGTGTATCACAAAAAAATTAAAAAATTCAGTAAAAAATTGTTTTTGGATGGGAATTGTCCCAAAAAACCTTTCCGCATTTTTTTAGGTGCATGAGTTTTTTTTTGACTTATTATTCATATACTTATTTACTAAAATTGGCAGTTCTTTTTCAAACAACGCAGACATATTTCACATTTAAAAAAATACAGGCCTATAATATAAATTAAAAAAAAAAAATTGGGTTTACTGCTGAATTTTACTATTAAAAAAATTCTTGTTTTATATTACAAATCATATATAAAACTTGTCGACAATAGGCCTAAGTGCAGTGGGCACCCTCCACACGTAACATATACAATAGACTTGTCTACTATAATTCCATCTGGTGCTTTTTTAACTCTAGATTTTATTTTAAAAATTTTAAGGTTTTAACATGGTCTAAAATCCGAAGTAAGGTCGACCTAAGAAAATACGGTACAGACTAATTATTTTATTAAATTAAAACGACACCCTGTAAAGTATTCCCCAGATGCTTCGATTATGCCCAAACTTTAATTTGCTCACTGCAGGATGGATTAAAGCTTAAGTTTAAAATTTGGTGTTTTTCTCATCCGTTTTTGAGTTATCTTCAAATTTCGAAATTTGCACTTTTCCTCAAATATCTCGATTTACGTCCATTTTAGGGAAATCATGTATAGTGACAAAATAATAAATAATAACATCATAAGCAACTTTTATCATGATTCCTATACTTTCCTTATCTGTACACAGAAAGGAAAGCAAAAAAGGCCATGATCGTATTTTCTTAGGCAACCCATTTGCGGTATATTTAAAAACATATTTTATTTAATAAAAAAAAACTTTTATGCATTAAACAGATGGGTGAAGGTCGGCCTTACTTACGGATCCTGAACTAACAGAAAGGGCGCAGCTTTGCCATAAAAAATGTGTTATTTTTTCTACTACTCGTTGATTTTTCTCTTCGATTCCTAAATTCGAAAAATCAGATCAATAAAACTTTGTATTTTAAATTTTTTTTCGTTCATGTTGCGGGACCTCGCTCTGCTCGTCCCGCAAATATTCACTCGTTACATAATATAAGACATTTCACAATTGGTTTCATAAATAGCTATAGTACGTGCAATGTAATTTGTCGATTAAAAAAAAAAAAAAAAAAAAAAAAAAGTCAGTCAGTCCTAATATATGAAATGCTCTATATTTGACAGTGAATATCTGTTTGTGTATTAGTTTATTAAGAAATCACCGTTTGTGTTGGGAAATACAACAATTAGCCACTAATTATTACAATTAACTCAATTTGAACATTTTTAGGCATGTGTTGTTTTTGAAAGAAAGTCCTCAATTTATTTCTATATCTCTCTCACATCCAAATATAGCGTCTCATCTTTATTTGGACTGATGCGTCGGTTAACGTACTGAATTTAAAATTACTTAATACTGAAATAAGTAAGGCTTTATACCCGGGAGTGTTTTTTATATTTACATTTCTTTTAGTTGTAGGGAATGACTAAACTGATAACTTGCTAGCTCTCCTGTAAGTACAACTTTGATTTGTAGTTTTCTCTATATATAATTTGTTTAAATTAAATAAGAGATGAATAGAATTTTACTGTCACTACAATAAATGATTAACAGCAGGCCATAACAGAAAATAACTTAAGGATGAACTTCGCCCATTATTTCTATATTTTGTTTTATTATAAAATATCTATATTTTGTTTTTTCTATAGAAATAATAAAGACATTATTATTATACTAACTTACTAATGCAGCATACATTCACGTCACACAAACATTGTAGAGCAGCATCATCGGCAAAAAGAACATAGAGGATTCATGTACTATAGGTAAAATAGATAAAAAATTATTTAGTAAAAAATATTTATATCATAATTTTAAATTATTATTTTAACTTTTCTCATTCATGTTTAGTTTATTTAAAGATATAATTTCCAAAGAGGAAGTATAAATTCAGGTTTTTTATTAATTGATACTTTTATGGAAATTCGTTGCAAAGACAGCAGTAAACACGGTTCAACGAATTACCTGATCAAGCAAAAGTGCACGAATCCGAACTTTCTTTATAAAATATTAGAAATAAATAATCACTTGGTTTTGAAGAGCGACACGAGCACCATCCCTCTTAGAATGGTGTACCCTTGTCTTTTTTTTAATTTGAAAATTTACTTAGTAAATAATAGTATAATATAATATATTGTAATAATACCATAAACAATCTGTGGCAAATGGACTTCGAATCCGATGCCAACCCCCACCCAACACACAAATAATAGTCTAATACTTTACTTTGTCCACGACCAATAAAAGTTAAGTGTAGAATGGAAAGTTTTTATCAAACATAAGTAACTAATTGTTGTTTTTTCGACTTTTCGATCTAGAAAATATCGTTATGAAAAGTATCGCCCATTTTTAGTTATCTACCGGAATGTGCCAAATTAAAAAAGCGTGACTTATCATAATTCACTCTAGTTATATATGGGTACCATATGCTTTTAGTTAGGAGGTAGAATATTGATTTATTATTAAGTGGTCCTGGACAAATAATTTTAATTAATATTATGTTTCATTAAATGTCTACCATCTAGCTACAATTAACCTCAGCTCGTTTAGGGAACCATAAAAAACCCTAAACCCGGTAATATTACAAATAAAAGTGGTCCTAAAACCGATCCCTGTGGGACACCTATATTAATTGACCCTGTATTTGAGAGGTCGCCTTTATAAAAAACTGACTATGATCTTTTAAACAGGACTTCATTTAATAAATCCAATATAAAACTTTTCAAATAAGGTGCTATGGGAGCTGCAGTCGAAAGCTTTGGTTAGGTCACAGATTAATATCAATGTATTTACCTTTTTCAAGGCCCTCGACTATGTCTTCCACCACATGTAAAACTGCACCAGTTGTCGATTTATTTTGCCTGAAATCGATGTGTTATGGCTTCAAAAGGATTAGTTTTTATGTAAACATTTCAAAAATAACAATAAAAATAAAATAGCGATTGTACGGATCCCTATTCAGTATACCTTCATGGGTTATAAAGATTTTTGACATGAATGTTTTTAGGATTGCCTAGATGGCGGTGGTGCTGACTTGGAAACTTTTTTGCTCTTCACACGTTTTTTTATATCGTTAAAAGAAGTTAAGACTTCGTCAAACTGTGTTTATTTTCTATAAACCCAGAGAAAATGGTTTCAAAACCTGGAAAATGATTTTAAACTCGGAGCCCTCATCTCAAAATGACGGCGTTGTCAACCCTAAATACAGGGCACGATCTTAGTAATCTTTGGTATAGCAGGGGCAGAAGTTGTAAAGGCCTTTGGTAGGTAGAGAGGGGGTATACGTCAAACCACGGCGGACGGCTTCGAGAATTTCGCAGTAATGTTTACCTGCCAGTGTCGTTTCATAGAATAAGTAATTTTAAATTGTTACCTGCGGAACCGGACAATCGCATGTATTTATGGACTATAAATAATTATTAAACATGTATTATAATATCTAAATCATAATTCTACAAAATTTCAACAGCTATTTACAATTTATTAAACTATTCTCGAAATTGTTAACATCTATAAAATAATTTTGTACGCCAATGTATCGCATCCACTTCGGTTAGATCCGCCGCAAACCTGTCAATTTATGTGTATAAAGTGGGAGAACTGGCAAAAGCCTTTCCAACTTCTGCCCCTGCTATAAGATGATTAACGACGAAATAGAAAAAAACAACGGATTGTTTTCTGCGATTTATTAACGCTTTTACAGTTTTTTTGTCGCCTTTAAAAAAGAAAAAACAGAAAAATCGAATTGTACAAAATATTACACATATATAACAATCATTCTATATCCTAGAGTAATATTCCTATTTGAGACATTCTCACAGAAATATAACAATAATATTAATTCAATTCTGGACACAAAAAATTCACAGTTTGTAACTTGATAGTAGCTTTATTAAATTCAATCATTAGATATTAATGAACATGATTGTTTTTCCTAAATATTTTTATCGGTATGAGGAGGCAGAGGCTGCAAGAAAAAAACGGACAATATTTTGTTAAGTTCTGCTAGTTTCGGTGATTCTCAAAGCAGATCAGGCCAATGAAACCAAACTCGCTAAATTTTGGTACGTCATCTTAAAAAAACAATTGACGAAAATATATTCGGAATTTTCAAATTAGATAAGTAACATATTTTTTTGTAATTGAAAAATCTTAAAATTACGATTATATTTCCGTGTAACTATACAGAGTATTATAAATTAGAAAAAAAAAAAAATTAACGAGTTATTAATCAAAAAAAGAAATCTAATCTTTTAAAAACCATAATTTTTCGCTCAACTGTTTTAATGAATTAATTTTACTCAGAGTGACTACTAAAAGTGTAAAATTTCACATTACGTCACAAAAGTTGCAATAGTCCTATTTAAGACACGAGGCGATTGTGCTCATACAATTTTTTATACAGGGTGAAATTCATGTACACATTAAAACTTGTTAATATTTGAACTTTCCTTGAATGCACTGAAATATTATTTTTTTTTGCTAATAAGTTTTTGAAAATCGACTTTAAAAATGGCGCAAGCACTGCCATCTTGTTGTAGATTAGTTAGAAATGATTTATTTAATTTAAATAGTTCATCGATTTTCTGAGTTTAGGAAATTATAGAATGTTAGGAATGTTTTGAAGAATGTTAACACAGTTGCCATGCAATATCTAATATATACCTACAACTGAAAAATTATTCTCTTGCTCGTAACCTCCAAAATGATAGTCTTCTTCCCACATTCCATTACAGTTTATTATTGACAATGTTTTCCAATAGACCAGCACAACAGTTATGTTTTGAAGATTATTGTTTTTATTTTTCACATTTGTTTAGAAAGACAGGATTGTTACACTTTGAGGCAATAAATTAATTTCACGTCCGACGCCAGCGTCACAGTGTTTCTATATGGTTTATATTTGTTTTTAGACACAGCAAAGTGTAGAATAATGGTCAAAAAAGGGGAATTTTTCTAATATTTAGATTTGAGAATTTGACAGTAAAATCATATACTATCTGTTTTAATAATGTACATGTATTTTCAAAACAACCTGTATTTATCTAATTTTAATCTTTTGTTACCATTTTTAATGATTTTTATGCCCCTTTAACATCCTAGGTCGAAAACTTTTAGACTTTACGAAGTATATTTAAAAAGATTACTGCTGTATTAAAATATCAAAAAAAGTATCATTGTATACAAACCCTTTTTTTCATTTTCCAATAAGTGGTCATTTCGCTTGAAATTGTAAAACAAAGTACAAAAATCAAAAATTCATAAAAATAAATAAAATTTAAAACATTTTTTTTTAGAACGTTTTCATAATAATTAAAATTTCATTAAGAGAGATTCGATAATATAAATATCCGTAAAACAAGACATTTTCACACAAAACAGCGAATAATACCATTATGGTTTCTTGCAGAAAAATAAAACAACCCTATGATAAAAAATAAATAAATAAAAAGTCATACCAAAATTTAGCAAACCCAATAAACAAAGACGAAAAAATAATAATTACAATAACCTAAACCGGAGAGTGGGCCTGACTTACTACGAATCGCTATGTCATCAGATGCCGTCTACAGGGTCGGCCTCGTCCGCCGAACTAATGTCGTCGCCGAATTCGATATCTTCGTCGAAACCTTCTTCCACGAACGTGACGGTTTCATTAATTCTAACCGATTCTGGGAATTCCCCGTACGTTTTCAAGTTACGCGCTTCGTCCGGCGTGTATTTCAAAATAACGTCCGCTTTGGCATCTTGGTAATCACGTAAACCTATGAGAATTATGTCGCCTTGGTTTATCCAAACCTAAAATAAACGGTTGTTTATAATACAAGGGTCGTAAAACTTAATACTAAAAAATATATTTTTTTTATTAATGCCAGGAACAATATGCAAAAAATATAATATATAAAATTGTATAGAATTTTAGTTTTAATACAAATCCCGTTGCACATCATCAGTGATGTTAGTCTTTCCTCATATCATTACCAACTAACTAAAATGTCCCTAAGCTAATAATCCGAAAATGTCACGAATATTCACGAGCATTCATGAACGTAGTCATATTACTAAAAAATCGAAAAATATTATTTCTTGTTTAGTATTCAAAACCCCATACTTTACTAATAGCTATTTGTATTACTAGGGAGGAAAGTGCCACTTTTCCTCCCGCAGGATGAAGTTTACATCCAAGGGAGGAAAAGGCACTTTACTCCCAAGTAATGCATATGATTTTTCCGCCTCCCTCAAATAACAAGTAATTTTTAAATAATTTTCTTCGGCGCATTGCTTGAAATGTAAATACTGTTTTTCGTATTTTTCTTTAGATTTTTGGGGTAATAGAGATTGTACTGTTGCATTAACCTGTTCCAAAATATCCGGTGGTGTATTAATTATATCTTCAAATTCGCTTAAATCACTCATTTTTTAAATATTATTTTATATTTTGTAGATATATTATAGCGTAACACACTTTGAAACTGATCTGTCAATCGACCATAGCCTATAATATTTCTGTCCTAAATTCGAAAATCGGATGAATCTATGAATTGAAGTCAAATTATTAATGTAAAAATCGTTAAATTAAAATAAAAATTTACTGGTTTTTACTATTTTGCAAAATACAGGGTGTTCTATAAATAAACGGTAAAATTTATACTTATATAATAGAATATATATAGTTTAGGTCGTCAATGCCGTATAAGCTATTTCATTTATGACATACCATGACGTCACTTTTACTTTTTCTCCCTAGGGAGGAAAAGTACGACTTTGCTCCCTGCAATGAGGCCAGAAAATGTATACTTTGGATAGAGGTAGGCGGAAAATACATTTATCTAGAATGTAATTTATGATTATTTTTTAAGATACGGCTGCTGCTTTGATATTCTGTACGCACATGAAACTCGTATTTATAGAGAAGAAATGTCATTACGACAATTAGTATACCTTATTGTTACTGTGTTGCCAGTAGCGTTTTAAAAAATTCACTGACAGTTTTTAGGATCCGGGTAAATTATCCTGTAGGATATAGCCCAAAAAAAGGAAGAACGTTTTAGGTTATGTTTACAAGTTGATTTTCAAAACAAAGTGCAAGTCTTATGAAGACAATTAAATTTTACAAATTTGATTATTTCGGAAAAAATTAGAATGGACAATAAAAATCATCATGTTTTTCACATTTGTACTAGAGATAAGTCGATAGTACTATCGATACTTGCAACTATCGAAAAAATTCAATAGTTCGAAAATACATCGATAGTTTGGATATTGTTAAAAGTTGACCAAAAGCAACGATTATAATTTAAGCAATTTATAATTATTGGGCTAAAAGTTACAACACTTACATCACAACAGTGATTTTTAAAGGAATTCTAAATTTCGCGCTCTTTTTCTTCGATTAATGTTTGACTCCTTCCTCGCCAACAGAATTGCTATTAAGAGAGACAGGGAAATATTGATTGTTTGTTACAGAAAGTGAGAGCATGTATTAGTGTATTCTTGGTATTTTATACATACCAGAACAGCAACAGAACAAGAAACTATGAAAATTAAAGAACAAACTCAACAAACTAACATTTCTTTTTGCTTGTCTTTCAACAGAGGTTTTGTTTTAACGGTTTTAATTTCAATAAAAAGATTAAAAAGCGTGGTGAAAACAAAAAGAAAATCTATCATAATATATGGAAAATAATTACCAAAAGAGAAAATTCTCTATATCGTCAATATCACGAAGTGACGTAACTCAAAAAATTGAAAATTGAGATAAGTCACACATTATGTAAAAAAGTATGCTCTACAATTTCACAAAATTGCGTATCTCAATTCATTACATTTATTAAAATAGCACGTATCTAACCGTGTGTATCTGATAACTTCACGACGAGACGTAACTTTATAAAAAAACTTTACAACGCTCTCTTGTAAAGTTGTGAAAATCGAGTTACGTCAATTCGTGATATTGACGACGAATTACGTTAGATGTAATGTGTGTCACTCTGACTACATTATGTAGTAGTAATACAACGAATGTATTCGATCACATAAAAAGAAAACATCCTAATGAATTACAGAAGATGAAGATACACACTGAAGTAAATTCCTCTAGTTCTGATAGTGAAAATAATATAGGAGAGAAAAATAAAAAGGAAGAGATACGCTCGGAGATACCTAACAAGATTAAAAAACGCATAATTAAAAAAAAATTAATAGGGATATAAAGTATTTAGATACTAATAAACAAAAGAAAAATATAGATAACGCTATTCTGCCGTGTTAATTGAAAAGGGCCCTATCTGCAATTTTGGCCTTTTTTAGCTATACGTTTTATCCTATGATGTACATTTATTTCTACCCTATTGTTAACAGAAAAAGACCATATCTACCAAAATATTCTTTAAATACGGCAAATATGATAGGCCTATATGTATCAGTGAAACAAATTTTTACTTTGAAAGGACCTATCTGATATTGTTACAACAAAACGGCATATCTTCAACTTCTCATTGCCGATAGGCCTTTTATCTCTAACAAATAAGTGATGTAACAACCTAACCACACACAGTTATTACCGGCAGTGTTGTTTACGTCGAACTGCAGTGATTTTAAAGAATTTGTTTGTTAAATTTATGAGTTAGTTCCTTAAAATTGTTAACAGAATATCAGGTGAGTCGTATATTTCTTTTATTTGTAGTTTTAAATAGTTATTTTTTGTGAATTTGTATGTAAAATTTGTTTATAAAAAACCCAACCTTACAATTGTTATTACAGTGTACCCTGACAATTAAAAACTAATTAACTAAGTGGAAAAATAAAGGCATCCTTTGTGCCACAGATATCACATTACCGTCGAGAACACGCTCCTCGTCAACGATACCTACCAAGTGATATCACGGTGAAATTTATGTACGATGATTTCCAAACAAAATTTGAAAATACTTTATTTTCCTACAGTTTATACAGACTGGCAGTAGCCGACATGAACATTTCCTTTGCCAAGTTGGGCCACGAGGAATGCTGGGCATGTAAAATTTGTAAGTTATATTGTACATCTAGCGGCCATAAAAAAGAAAATCCTAATTCCGTATGCCAGGACTGCAACGCTTGGAATAAACATTCTAGAAAATATAAAAGAGCGACAGAAGAGTACTAGAAGGATGCCAAAGAACAAAATGTCAATAAAGTTACAATCACAGTAGATTTACAAAAGGTAATAGCATCTTACTTTTATTGAAATTGTTGTTTATTGTTATCTTATTTTGTTTCAAGTCGTTATGTTGCCCAGATGCGACACCTTTAAAAATGTTATTGTTGTTCCAAGGCTTATTGCTTTTAACGAAACCTTTATGCCTGCAGGAACAGCACATATTTTGAATCCAACTGTAGTCGTATGGCACGAGGCCCTAATGGAGCGGAAAAAGGAAAACATAATAGATGCATTTTTTTTCACCATTCGTGATATTGAAAACGTTACTTTGTGGCTAGATAACTGTTCGGCACAAAACAAGAACTGGACTTTATATTGTTTTTTTATTTATCTCATCAGTTCCAATAAAACTCCTCTAAAGACTTTAGAGTTAAAATATTTCGAACCAGGACACACGTTCATGGCCGCTGATGCATTTCATCACCAAGTCGAAGCATCCCTGAAACGGAAAGGACGTGTGTATGATTTTGCCGATTTGGTAGAGATGCCAGGCGCACCTCTAATGTCATTCAAATGACATTAGAAAAGATGTTTGTCTGGAGAGACGGTACGTCGCAATATAAATTAAAAAAAATTATTCCCAGGCCGTATCTAAGCGAAATGGTACAAGTGACTTTTAGCAGCGGTCATAACACACTCACCTACAAAACGTCTTTTGAAGAGGAATCTGGCACAAAAATAAATATTTTGAATGCTCATGATCACAAACATGGTAAGGTCCATAAGTACCATTCATTTGATATTTGCACTTTGCCTGTAAATCTTATTCGATTTGGGGTGTATTATTTATAAACTAGTTTAATTTATTTAGTAATGTGTCTATTATATTTTAGGCATTCGTAAATCAGAAAACCAATTGCAGTAAAGGGGAATTATCTTCTACTATACCTCCACTCAGTTTATTATTTTGGGATACTCTGCCAGAGACTGTCAATGAGGAACCACTTAACGACGAATAAAACGTTTTTTTTTTTTTTGTAGTCTTATTGTCTTAAAAAGGAGTTTACAAAAAATAAATATTTATATAAAAGCAGAATTATTTTGTCAAACCGCATTTGCAAAAATATTCCCCAAATATTCCTATCCTATATCCTAATATGTCATACTTAATTAATCTTTTTTGATTCAAAATAGCCTACTTTCATACTGTTGAACCCTTTTGAGTTAGTTGATCTCTAGAGAACTGTTAGAACGAAAGGGCCTAACTATCAAAAGTAAAACTTTATAATACGATATCTAACTTCCAATTAGTTCACTAAAATTGAATCGTAATTGAGAATCGTTTCATTTAAAATGATACTGCTACTCGATTAAACAAGGATGGCACAGCAAAAAAACTTTAAACACATTTTTCTCAAAAGTGAGTTTCTGCAGATAAGGCCCTTTTCAATTAACACGGCAGTATTGTTAACATGAAAGCTTTAGACTTACAGCCTTACAGTATAGTTGATAGCCATTATGGAGTGCCTTCAAGGGGAAAACTAAAAGATATGGAGATGTGACTCAAATTCCATTAAAGAGACCGTGGTTTGGAAAAATAAAAAATTAGAATAGAAGGGTTATTAGTACCATTTGCAGATTATGAAGCAGTCATTGTTTG